TGCATATATCCCTAATTGACTGATTTTTTTGATTTATGTAGTAAAATTAAGAAGTGATTTCATGTTAACTTTCTTGGGTTTTAATAACTCTTGTTTACCTTTTTTTTTTCCAGGCTGGTCTCCTTGTGGGAGAAGTGCTAATGAAACCTGCTAATGTCTAAAGCATGTGTGGCTTTTTCTTTTCTACATTCAACATTTTCCTAAACATTTTTCGACATTTGTCTTTCATTATGCACTCTTCTACTGACTTTGTTGTTCAGAACTGACTTCAGTCATGAATTGAAACTAGTAAGGAGTTCTGCTCTGGGATCTGGCATATGAGGGAGACAGAGCTACTTATATATTATTTGATCTGTGCATGCCTTTATGTATCATGGCCTTTTCTGCTAGGGAGTAGATCTTCCCCACTTATTTGGTTTGCAGCTTGCTTACTCTTCCATAGCAAAGCCAAGACTTTTGTGCTGGGAAGAAGACTCAAGCCTGAGATGTGATATTCTTAAGGCTTTTAGAGCCAAAGAGCAGCAAGTAGTCACAAAGGACTGGTGACTGCTTTCCATCTCCCATTCCTCCAAGCGGATTTGGAGAAGGACTAATCCCCTCTGTGTGAGGAGACGCAGTGTGATCTGTCTTTCTGTGAAGGGCACTGGTCACTATCATGCTGGCCCTTTTAATTCTGTGTGTCAAAGTGATTTGATATTGTATGTATTCTAAGTAATTTATTTACAGAAGTATGCTTGGGTAAGTTTATTGCTTGCTTGGAATTAATATGATGCTTAAAAAGTGCATGATGCTCTTAATTAACGGCTTCCACTTAGTTGTGGAAGGAGTTCTACAAAAATAATGCAAGGTAACCACTGCAGTCATCTGCAGGTTGTTCTAATTTAATTTTTGAATTACCACAGTCATTACCACAGTCCCTCACAGTTGTGAGGGAAAATCTAGAAAATGGGTGATTGAGGATATAAGTGATTGGTATTGGGTGTGATCATTTGGACATTGGGCTGATTATTGGTGGACATAGTTAGGTAGGGGAAGGGTGGATGTACCAGAGAAATTATTTGAATATCATTAATAGAACTTGGTAGGAGTGATAAAACAGGAAGAATAGAAGGAAAGAAGTCTTGGAAATACTGGGCAAGGTCTTTTAAAAGTTGTAAGGATTGGAGTAAGTGCATTGGGAGGCCCTAAAGAAAAATATGGGAAATGTCACACAGGAGTTCTGGAACTCCAATAAAGATTTTGGTTGATTTAGAGCTTGTTTTTTGCAAAATTTTATAATGTAGACAAAACCTGGTCATTAACCATTACTTTGGAACAATGCTTGAATTGCCCTCATAAAATCAGTTTGTGCATCCTGGTATAATAATTGTATAGATGTAAAGATTTGAGCTTCAACGTACGCTGTCACGTGAACAGTAAATGTTTTCTTTTTGAAAACTCTGCTAATTGTTTTTTAAAACTGAAGAAAGGAGTTAAATGCTAAGCTAAAATAAGTTCTTGGCTGAACAGCATGTGGGATTCAATAGATTCATGGATGCATAATTGTACTGATAGGAGGAATGGGTGTGTATGCCTTTACAAATGACTTGAGAACAAGGACTGAAAGAATGGGTGTGGGGCTAGATGTTGTAGGGGAGATAGGTAGTAATAGGATTGGGAAGGCTGTACCTTCCCAATACCTCAGCCAATGGGGAGAGGAGGAGGGCAACAGGCAACAGGAGTTTAGGATAAAAGGAGGCTGTATCCTCCAACGACTCAAGAGACCCCACAGGGGTATGGCCCAGTGGACTCTCCCATTATTTGAATAAAGTTGGTTTCTGCAGGGCTCCTCTGTCTCCTTTGTGGGCACAGGCCTTTGGCAGCATGATTTTCCACATAGTACGGATTATTTATATTTAAGCAGTTTCCTGCATTCAGATTGTGCCGCTCACTTGTATAAGTACTGAACCACTCCCTCTCCCCATAATTTCACTATAACTTTAGAAGCTATAAATCCTTGTGCTCGGGTTGGCCACCGACTTTTAGTAGCCAGTCATATGGTATAGATTTGCAAAGCTGACGCAAAATGGAGCCATTCATCTCCTCCCTATTACAGGCTGCTGAAAGCATATTGCCCTGAAGTTCTGCTCATTGCACTGTAACCCTGCTGAGCACCGAGGCAAGTTCAAGATTTTGGTTTTGGTCTTACACTTTACAATGCTTGGTGGCAGCAGCCCAGGCTGCCTGAGGGAGCACCTTCCCCAGTCAGGGCTCACTCATGACAGCTGCATTCCTCTGGAACAATGGTATTGTTGGTGAAATGGGGAATGAATGGGAGAGACAAATTGCTTCTGCAGCTAGCCCACAACTGAGAGATTGATTCCTGGAACACATCAGAGCAACTATAAACCTCCCTGTCCTCGGAATTAAGTGAAAATTCACTTGCTTCAACCTCGACTTTCCACAATGACCAGGGGAAAAAAATCCCTAGGGCATAGACAAGGATGATTTCTGTTTCTTTTTTAAAAGCCCAAATAACAATGTATATGAAAGTATAGGGTAAGAATAGGGTAAATGTTGTCTCCTCTACTGTGCAGTTTTATTAGTCTACCTCATAACTCCTGGCCTCACAACTTTCACTTGGCTGGCCAGCAGTAAAAGTGTTACTTAGGCTTGGTTTTTTTGGGTGAAGAAAAATCCCAATCAAAGAGGAGACAATAGAAATTCAAGTAGAAAGACAACTCAGAAGAGTGTTTCTAAAAATTTTAGCTTAATTTTTTTCTGCTTCCCTCTTTCCTCTGCACATCTATTCTTAATATATTTTAAATTTACAGATGTCTTATATATTGTTGAAACGCAAGAGTCTAATTTATTAACTGTTTGCAGGAGTGTTGCAGCTGCTCTTGGAACAAGAACCTCACTGATCTGTTGCAGTTTGCATTTAAATTATAGATCAAATATCAACAAGAAAGTACTTGCTACAATTTATTCCATAAAAGCATTGGACAATGTTGGTAGCCCATTTGACTGTTGTCGCCTTTTGCTCAAAAGTTCAGTTTTGAGCCTGAGCCTAAAGAAACTCTGAATCAGTTCACAAATATCTAACAAATGGCTCAGTCTTCAAAAACAGAAGTCCACCAAATAATGGGTGTCATTAGAGAGTGACTAGAGCCCAAGTGTGTGTGTTGTCAAAGGAAGCTGGTGGGTCTCAAGTTCAGAACAAGAGGAGGTGGCTCTTTGAACAGTGTGTGGCTAAACTCTGATACTCTACACCCGATGACATGACAAACACTACAAGTTTCTCGGGATCCAGGGAGACAGCAGTGCGGAAAACCAAGCCAGAACTATAAACACAGCATGCAAAGTCAGGAGTGGTAGGTGTTCCAGGGTTGTGTTCTGATGCTATTGCCTAAGCATCTTTGGTTTTAGTCAATATTGCACAGAATGCTTAGGGGGATCACTGATCTGGCACAATGCAGTTGTCTGTATTTTTATGTTTAAAAGAAGTCTTTTAAACTTCTTTTAAGAGGAGAGTGAGGGGAATGACGACGCTTACAGAGACATCAAAACTAAAGCTGGCTGTAAAGCAGCTTTAGTGCAGAAAATCTTGCAGTTTTTGTACAGCTGAGTGAGAGAATGGCAGAGGGAAATCAGAACAGATACATGTAAAATAGTGCATGTGCACTAATTACATGTACACAGTGATGTGCTGCTCTGTTTTGTCTGTTAACCCTCAGGAATTATCCTGGACTCACTGTGAATAGTTATGTGAAAATGTTGGCTTGATACTCAGTAGGGGTCAAAAAGGCAAGCAGAACCATTTTAGGAAAAGGTAGGAAAAGCAAAAAGTAAAAAAAAAAAAAAGGTGGAAAAAAAGAGAAAATTCCATCAAATTGGTATGTAAATCAGTGGAGATCTCCAACACTTGCATTTTCAGCCACTTTATCAAAAGGGAGGTAGAGTAGAATTTAAAAAAAAAAAACAACAACCTCAGCAAAGAAACAAGAATCATTGGAATAGTTTTGATATAAGGACAGAAACATTTTTCCCCTTAACCAATAGATTTCAGGGGAGAAGAGTTGATAGCTCTTTACAGAGAGATAAATAGTGGACGGAGGACACACATAAAATAATTTCTTTCTCTGTAATAAACCCCAAATTAAATTTAAGTCTTCAGGATAAAAGCTTAAAAATTAGCAAGAGGAGGTAGTTCTAAAGGAAAAAAAAACAAACAAACAAAACAAAACCAAAAACCCATAAACAAATGTGGTGATATCACTTCTGGTTCAGAAAGACCTTGAGCTGGCTCTGACCAGGAATGGTACTATGCTTTCCCCAAAGTAGCCAGTGTTGGCCAGTGTCAGGGGTGGCAGAGTCAGTGAAATTACAGTCTGTTGTGGGAACCTCAGCCCTGACATCAGGAGGAGTTGCTGTGATGTTCCCCAGTGTGACCTGTAGTGGAGGAAGCATCTTGTGCACAGGATGTGGTGTGTGCCTGTAACAGTTGAGAAAAGGAATGCTTTGTTTCTGAATATAAGGAAATGGAAATGAAACAAATTCAATTTAAAATATCATACAGAAGACTATGGCCTGGTTTGTAACTTGCCACACCTTGGTTTGATGGGTGATTATACTATCAAAATATTTATAAACTTTCTGTAGGCTGTGGAAGATGATCGGTGGGATGGTCCAAAGCCACATAGGCTCAGGTGCATCTTATTGTGAGTGTACCCATTTTCATCCCTAGGCCTTTAAAATGCAAGACAGGAATGAAAAGGGTTTTTTATTGACCTTCTGGGTATATTAACTTCATGGACTCAGGGGAGACCTAGCAACAAAGACAGTCTTGTGAATACGTGTCTGTATAGTTTGTCAGAGGCATTGGCTGGACCACCAGGCTAATAATAAAAAGAGAAAATTAAACTTATAAAGCTACTGTTTATTGTCTGCAAGATTTAATCACTCACACTGAAAGTAACTTTACTCTTACCAATGTGTTCTTTTTCTTCTTTTTTTTTAAGAACACCATTATGAAGCAAGTGAGATAATGCTGAAATGCATGTTTTCTAGTGCCTACCTGTTCAGCACCTCTTAGAAGATACCAAGAAGTTGTCCCTATGGAAAGTGTCTCCTGAATCAGACTGAAGGCAATAACAGAGAGTCTGAGGTTAAAACTTCTGCCTACAACTAATTTCTGAGAATTGGTGTTGCAACTCCCATCTTATAAAAAAGCACCATAATTAGATAACGAGGAAATTACTCCATATACAAGCAACAAAGATGCTTCATGCAAGTACTTTTTACAATTAATAGACAATTCTAAGTGGTTTTTAACTCTTAAAATAATAATAAAAACTATCTGGTATATGTGTACTGGTTTGAGTAATTTCTTTCTTCGAGTTACTGGACTGAATTTATTTTTTCTTTAAACATAATGTCACACTTATTTCCTGTAGGTAGGTCTTTGCTGAGGCCTTTACATGTCCATTTTTGTCAGACAACTGATTTTTGATTTTTCAGGTGGAAGACCCAGAAAAATGTGCAGTGGTAGAAGAAAATGCAAATTTAAACCTGTGAGAGTTCTCTTGGTGATTTTGTGGTACTTGAGTCCACCAATGCTTTGAGGGTCTCTGGAATTTGAAACAACTTATTTCGATTCTTAATGCTTATAAAATAAATAAATGGAACTTCCAAACCCCTTCTGTGCACGGACACTAAAAATTTATCCCAAGGATGTTGCTGACTTTGCCAGTAGCGTGCTTGGCACATTTATTCATGCATTAACTAAAGATTTTCTTTCAAGTAACTTGCTGGCATATATGTGACTGGTGATGAAAGATGGTCTGGCCATGTGTTGGTCTTCACCCCACAGACATACCTCTTTTCTTGTGTGATTGTCTCTGATGGGCAATATGATTTGTCCTAAGACAAGATACCAGGAGGAGCTCTCTGAATGCTCTCATGAGGAATATATTCACTTTTAGACAGGTGAGTAAAACTGCTAAGATGTGGTCACTTGTGGAGATAAAATCATGAAGTAGCTCTATAGGTGCTTTGTGATTGTGTGTTCTGCAAAGCCAACGACTGCAAACCTGTAAATTTCTAGCTCAACCTGCTTATGTTGTAACTTTTTCGACCTGCTTATTATATTCTATACTTAATTGACAATGTAAGATATTGTATTAGCAATAAATCTAACCACAATCATTCATGCAATCTGTGGCATATTTCTGGTGCCCGACTGACTTAGTTCTCTTCTACTACTCTGTTGCAATATATTAAATCAAATGTAATTATTCTGGACCAATAGAATCTGTTTAAGTTTTCCTTTCTGCAATACTAAAGAAGTTATGAGCTGGTAAGAAAGCTGCTGTTCTGTTCAAATATTACTCCATGAATTCTTTATTGTTAAAACAAATTACCTATTCTTGCATGTTCCTTTCCCTTTCCCTTTCCCTTTCCCTTTCCCTTTCCCTTTCCCTTTCCCTTTCCCTTTCCCTTTCCCTTTCCCTTTTTCAGAATTTAGTCAATTACTAGATCCCTTTACTGGTTTGGTCAGTAGGTCAGACATACTGGTCTTTCATTTCTTGGATCCTTCTTCAAGTCATTAAAAATGTTTCATGTTCAGTATCTGTCATTTTGAGGCTGAAACAGGCTGAAGTTATGTGATAGACATGATAGTTTATGATTTGGGGAAAAGTACCTTTACGTCTTTGGTTTTGTCCTAACTTGTCTTTTGGCCTAGTGTACAAACTCCACTGGCCTTATGAAGAACCTCAATCATCCCTGATAGCAGTGACTTCTGACAATGTAACTGCATTACATTGTAATTAAAATAGTGTAAAACCCCCACAGCTTAAACCAACCAATAAATCAAAAAGGTAGGGAGGCCATGAGAAAAGACCCAGTCAGCCTGTTGAAGAAGGAGAATGCTTATTAACTTCACAGCATTTTGAACTCCTCTGTAAAATGTTTTTTGTAGTAAAAGTTGTCTTTGGTCATCTATTTTATGCGATTCTTCCACTGTTTTTTTTTTTGGTTTTTTTTTTTTTTTTTTTTTTTTTTTTTTTTAAAATCTGAATCACAAAGGAATATTAAGTTGCTGTGTCCTTTCTACAGAGGCAGAGGATCAAAGCTGTGACGTGCACTTGGATGCAGGCACTTAGCATCCATGTTTCTAACACTTTCTCTCTCTTTGGTCTGCTTGCTCCTTTTCTGTTTCCCTCCATTCTGAGTGGCAACCAAGAGGACAGGAAGGTGGAGGAGGAGTGTGTTCAGCAGCATTGTTTTCTCCTGATACTCTCCTAGACAGGATCTCTGGAAAAGGAGCCTTCTGCTTCAGGACTTTGATGCATTATTAGTGTGATGCTCTGACTCTGCATTTGGAGAGTACCCATCTGGCTTTCTGGTTTCTGCAGGGAGTTTTTGTGTGGTAATAGCTTGCCCGGTGAAGTAGATTCACCATGTGTGAAACTAAACTGGGCCAAATTGAGAAATTTTGCCAGCTAGGTGGAGCTCCCCCACTAAGTTTCTTCCTGTCTTGGTTTGTACAACCTTAATCACTATTGCTGAATCTGAGAGTTCATTTAAAAGATGGCCAGTTTACACAGACTAAAATCAAAATGTGAGACAAGCTTTCTCTTTGCTGCAGGTGGAGGTGAGCACACAGTAATCCAGGGATGTATGGATCTGCATTGTTAATGGGCATCTATCTCTCAGTGGTGTTTTTATTCACTGCAGTCCTGGAAGTGCTGATGACACTTTGTGGGTAACAGAATTTTAAAAATACTTTTCAATTACTAGAACATAGTCTGTAGTTTGCTGTAAGATAAAATTAGCACTTAGCTGTAACAAACACCTGCTCATAGCAAAACTTACTCTTCCCCCTAGAATCAAAGAGGGATTATATAAACTAGGCATCTTTTGTTTCCATACTTGCTGGGTCTCTAGAGAGCACCAAATCAGAGGATTTCTGTCTATGTGTGATGAGGATGAGACTTCCTACTGCAGCCTGAGATCTGAGGATCAGATGAAATTCACCACACGTTTCTATTCTGTCTCCACAGTAAAAAAAATTGCAGAACATTTTAGGCATTGATTTACATTGAACCACATAATTTTTCTATTGGCCTTTAGTGATGCTGATGACACTTAGTCTTCAGTAATTTTCAGTAAATTAATGGAATGAAGCTCAGTACATGGTTTTGCTGATAGTTCAGGAAGAAATGCAGAATCTAGACTGCTGTCTTACAGTAAATTTTTATTTTGGAAAAAGATAACTCTATTGTTGGGGGTGTGAGAAGAGCATAGTGTATATCCTTACCAGAGTTCAAAATAATGGATCTGGTTTTGTTAAAAGCATGTGTGGGGTCAGTTACTGCTGCTCAGCTGTGGAGTAGTAATTGTTATATTCTAGTAATAAGTTTGTTGTTTGCTGTGATAACCATATGGTGGAATAAAAAGTTATGGTTCTGGATTTGAAATGTAATAAAATAGAGCTAGTAAGAAGCTAATTTCTTTTTCCACAGAGCTACTTTTCATAGTATGTTTGAAGTTTTAAGGACCATGTTGAAGTATAATTAAATAAAGCTTTTTGGGAAAAAAAGAAATAGTGAACAAATAACTCTCTGTGCCAATAATCAAAGACATTTGTTTGAAACCAAATTTCTCCAACAGAAATTGGTGTATATATGTTTCTACTGTAATATGATAGTAGACTGTAGCTTTGTGTCTGATATGTATGAAATATATTGAACCACTTGCAGTCATTGTTTCAATTCACCAAATAACCAATTTAAAGGAGAAAAACAGTATCATGTAGCATTAAAATTGGCAAGTCCTTTTTTCTTTCTCTTGAGGATATGCATACATTAGTGTAATGCTGAAATTACTTTAATTCCACCCGCATTGTGTGGGAAAAGTTTAAAGAGTTTGAAGAATCCCTTTAGTTCAGATGAAGGCAGTCTCTGAGATGTCTGCTGACTCATTTCTGAAAAACAGTGCTCTGGGGAGTAGCAACCTTCTATTAGTTAATGTCTCATGTTTTAATCAATAATGGTGGCACATTGACACATTTTGGGTATAACATGGAAGATGAAACACTAGAAGGAGAAGGCAGGAATTTGGAGAAAATTTCAGCAAGTCATTTTCACATGCCTGATTTGGAATGGTATCTACATTTATGAAGTTGTGGAAAGAAGGATATTTAAATGCAATGCTAATTTAATTTTATAAGTACAGAATTATTATGAAGCCAAAATCTAGTTTTACATATTTGTCATTCCATAACATTGAAAAAACTGTTGACCCTAAAGCATATACAGTTGTTGAAACTCAGCAGCCTGTGGATTTATTTACAATTGCAATTGCAATTACCTATTAACTGAAGATTTTTTAACATAGTGTGTAGAATGATCTCATGTATTCTGTGCATTATGTGCCTTCTCATCACAGTGTAGACATGTAGCTGTGCAATGATGACTTTTTCTTGTTGCTATGAGCACATTTAAATTTTGGAGGAAGATGAGGGTTTGGGGCCTTGGTTTCAAGGAACAGATTCAATCTTCACTGCAAACTAAGTGCAGTCTTTCATCTTTTTGAGCTAAGGAGTGACCTGATGTTCATTGAGTACCATTGACTGTTGGTTCAAGGCAAACATTCAGAGCATTATTTGCATCAGTAACTAAGGATTTATGTCAGTTCCATAAGTTTTGGTTAAAGCAGTTCATTCAACATCAGCATTATTACTTAGAATTAAAAAAAATTGACTTCTTAAGCAGAGCTGTGGAAAAAGATCTTCATGCTCTGGACAAAGTCACTAGAATATGTCAGTGCAAGTGTTCTACTTCTCATGGAATCATGGAGTTACAGAACTATAGAACAGTATGAGTTGGAAAGGACTTTTAAAGACCATCTAGTTCAACTGTCTCTCCCATGGGCAGGTATATCCTTCACTAGATCAGGTTGCTGAAAACCGTATCCCACCTGACTTTGAACACTTCCAGGGATGGACCATCCACAGCTTCTCTGGGCAACCTGTCCCAGTGCCTCACCACCGTCATCATCAAAATATTTCTTCCTTACTTCCTATCAAAATTTACCTTGTTTCAGTCATTAGCTTTGTTACTACAGGACTTGGTAAAAAGTATCTCTTTTAAACTCAAAGTACGAGGCCTTGCAGCGTAGTGTTTCACTATCCTCTAAAACACTCTCAAAACCTCTCAGTGAGATTGGTTATCAATAGTAATTAGTGCCATGATATTACATGCCTAGGGGGAGAGTTGTTAGTTTAAAAACACAATGGCAAAGATGTAAAATCAGTGTATCAGAGCAACTTGTAAAAAAAGTTTCACTTAATGAACTCCTCT